CTTCTTCTTCTCTCTTAACCGTGACACACACTCATCAACAAGAAAAATGAGCAAAATATAATGTATTGCTCTTAGTCTCAAAATCTCACCTAAATATGTAATTTACATCAAGTCTAGTGTATTTTTCAACTAATAAACTCATGGGACGCCATCAAACAAATTTAAGAAAAATGAGCAAGTTGGATTGAGATGGTTCAAGGTGACGATGAACAAAATATGACTTCATAATGTTTCTCGACTTCCTAAAAACTGGGTGCAACATCCTCAGTAAAACCTGGTCACGCCTTATTCCAATAAGTTATCCGTCCAAAATAAAATTTATAAGAATAGAAAATAGTAGACATATTTCAATAAAGCGTGGTCATGCCTTGTTCAAATAAGTATCTGCCAAAAATTCAAACTCAGAAAAAGTAAATAAAATAAAATAAACTAAAAGAAAAGAGAAAATAAAGCGATAAAGATTGGGTTGACTCCTAATAGCACAATTGTTTAACTTCGTTATGCTCGACGTGGCTACGACGATTTGGTCAATTATCAACATAAATGGGTAGCTTCAAATGAAAATTGGCTAAGCATGTGACAACTTCACCATCGTGAAATATTTTCAATCTATAGCCATTCATTTTCATGATTTCGTTGAATCCAAACTCTTAATTTTCACTTCACCAGCAGAAAACACGTTAGTAACTATATATGGTCTGAGCCAATGAGAACGAAGCTTACCTAGCATATGTTTTAATCGAGTGCTATATAACAACACTTTTTGTCCTATCTCAAAATGTTTCTTGATAAGCATGTTGTCATGAAACAATTTGGATTTTTCCTTATATATCCTCGAATTCTCAAAAGTGTTTAAATGGAACTCCTCTAGTTCTTGCAATTGTAGTAACCTTAACATTCCAGCTTTGTCTAGGTCCATGTTGCATTGACGAACTGTCCAATATGTTTTATGATCTATTTTCATAAGTGACACGCCTTGCCATAAACCAACTAGTATAGAGACATCCTTTTAGGTGTTTTATAGGTCGTATAATAAGCCCAAAGAGCATCGTCTAAACGAAGGATCCAATCTTTCCTTTCCGACTTCATTGTTTTCTCTGAGAGGGATTTAACTTCTTTATTCGAAACTTCAGCTTGCCCATTGGTTTGAGGGTGTAATAACTCTCTAAAAGAGTTATCATTTAAGTTATTTATACCTAGGTTTATCTTGTATTTTAGCATTTTTTACGAGTATTATAGGATCATATTTAGTATATTTCTACATATTTTGTATCATGAGAACTAAGTGGATGACTTAGGGTTGATTTATATTTTATTGTTGAAAAGTGTTACACTGATGTTTAGAATTGGTTGAAGCTGTAGAGGATGTTGAGTGGATGATGCAGTAATGGATGAGTCATCAAGTGGTTATGAGAACCTTCTGGATGGGATAGTTGTCAAGGAAAACTGTCAAAAAGCTGGATTTACATGCAGCGTGGAAGAATTTGATTTGTTGAAGGTTGCCTCCTCTAGCTTATAATTGGAGAGCTTGTTAAGCTAAACAAAAGCATCCCATTCCTCACCTTCAAAAGAATTTCTCCTTGTTTATTCTTTTAGAGTCATGGTAGCCTAAGTTTCTCACCAAGGAGTGTTGTAGCATTTGTAAAGGTTCATCAAGCAACATCAACAGTTAATGAGATCACCGTTCTAAGCTTTTTTTTACTTGAGATAGGAGAATTGAAAGTAGTTTTTGGATGTTATAAACTTCATGAATGATATTTGGTTTAAGTTGTTTTTCACTTATGTTTTAATATTATGATCATTTGCTGCTACTCTTTAAAATTACTATTAGAAATAGTAATTGCAATGCATGACTTATTGATGATATTTTAGAAATAGATGTTGTTGATATGTCTTGTATTCCGTCAGCACTGGTTTTGCTTAGGAGCATTTGTGTATGTTGATAACCATGCTACTAGTCGTTTAGATATGATAATAGTTTGACTACTTTAGTTAGTGAAGATTGATTAATGATAATCAATGTTTTAATTATTGATAGACACATGAATGTAGTATTCATTGCATAGTTGATGTGAGAATTCCATTTATTACTTCATTATATTTTATAATTGACTTGGTGCTTTACATGATGTTGTAGCACTGTCTGGACTTTTATATTTGATTTCTATAGTTTTTCTATTTGTTTTCTTAAACACCAACAATTTTTTATTGATATTTTAACTCTATTGGAAATGTTTGCTCCTTGTGGGATTCGATACTCATAGCTATTAAAAATTATCACTTTATTACTTGATACGATACGTGCGTTGAATGTTATAACATCTTATCTAGCATCAGTAAACGATGGCTATGCAATGATTTACTCCATACTTTTTCATCAAGGCTTCAATCGATCTATTACAAAAGTGAATTCCTTGATCGATAATAATTGCTCTTAGAATTCCAAACCTATTCAAGATGTTAGCTTTGATGAAACCTACAGCAACCCAACAGACATTAGTTTTGGTGGTTTTACTTCCACCCATTTCGAAACATAATCGACACCAAAAGTATATAGGAAAAACCACAAGATGATGGAAAAAGACCCATGAAATATATACCCCAAACGTCAAATATTTCACAAATAAAAATTGGAACTTGAGGTATTTCATTCTTACGAGTAATTATTCACACTCTTTGGCATTTCTCACAGCTTTTAAAAAATTGATAAGAATCTTTAAACAAAGTTTTCCAATAAAAAAACCATTATCTAAAACTTTTCTAGCAGTTCGTTTGGGTCCAAAATTTCCACCAACATAATTATGGCAAAAAGGCTAAAATAGAATGTAATTCATTTTCTGGCACACATCTCTGGATCATTAGATCATAACAAAATTTCCATAGATATGGATCATCCCACACATAATACTTGGAGTCACTTTTTATATTTGCTCTCCTAGATTAAGGCCATGAGGTAGATTTTCTGTAACTAAATAATTTACCATATCCAAAATTTCCACCTCAAGCATAATCATGGCAAAAGGCTAAAATAGAATGGAATTCGTTTTCTGGTACACATCTCTGGATCATTAGATCATAACAAATTTCCATAGATATGGATCATCCCACACATAATACTTGGAGTCACTTTTATATTTGCTCTCCTAGATTAAGGCCATGAGATAGACTTTCTGTAACTAAATAATTTACCATATCTGCGTACCAAGGAATCATACCTTTGATTTGGAACAAATGCTCACCTGGGAAATCGTCATCTAAAGATAGATTGTCCTCATCCCTCACCAATATATTCAAGTGATCTGCAACATGATTCTCTACTCCCTTCGTCTTTGATATTCAGTTGAATTCTAGGAGTAGAATCCATCTTATCAACCTTGGTTTTGACTCCTTCTTTGACAAATGTATTTTAAAGTTACATGATCAGAGTACACAAGCTCTAAATTTTTAAAGGCAAAAACAATTGATAAGAGTTCTTATTCAGTGGTAGAGTGTTGCATTGAGCAGTTGCATTGAGCAATTGCATTGAGCAACATTCAAAGTCCTAGAAGCATAATAAATGACATGACTTTTATTGTTAATTAATTGTCCAAGAACGGCTCTACGACATAATTTCTTGCATCACACATGATTTCAAATAGTAAATCCCATCGAGGTGGTCAAAAATAGGTGCACTTATCAATGAAATTTTGAGTTTATCAAACGCCTCCTTGCATTGTTCGCCGAACTCGAACTAAACTTCCTTTAGTAGTAATTTGTTAACGGAAAAGTAATCTTGGAGAAATCTTTATAAATATGCGGTAAAACCTTGCATGTTCAAGAAAAGAGTGGACTTCCCTAACATTTGTAGGGTAAGGTAATTTTGCAATTATGTCCACCTTTGTTTTATCGACCTTTATACCTTAGAAGAATTACATGTCCTAACAATATGCCTTGGTAACCATAAATGACACTTTTCATAATTTAAAACTAAGTAGTTTCAATGCATCCCTTCAGACCTTGGTTAAACTATTTAAGCATTCATCAAATGAATCATCATATCGTGCAATAATCCTGAAAACTTCAATACATTTCTCAATGTTTAAAAAAAGTACTTCATACATCTTTTAAACGTACCTTGGGGCATTACAAAGGCAAAAGACATTTGCTTATATGCATAGGTTCCCAATGGAAAAGTGAACTGTCTTTTCTTGGTCTTCTTAAGCAATGAGGATCTGATAAAATTTGAAGAGCCATCAAGAAATAAAAGAAAGATTTTCCAGCCAACCTCTCTAACATTTGTCTATGAAGGTAAGGAAAGTGATCTTTCCTAGTCACATGATTAAGCTTTCTAAAATCTATGCCATCGACAACTTTTTGCACACACATTGGTACAAGTTTATTGTTCGAATTTCTTACTATAGTGATCCCTGTCTTCTTTGGGACAACGTGAATTGGACTTACCTATTTACTATATGAGATTTGATAAGTTATTCCTGCTTCTAATAGTTTTATGTATTTCCTTCATCGCCCTTTCGTTCATGGATAGATTTAACCTCCTTTTTGCTTCCCTTGAAGGTTGGTACCATCTTCAAGCAGTATTCTATGCATACAAATTGATGGACTTATACCTTTGATGTCGGTTAAGGTTCATCCAATTGCTTCTTTATGCTCTTTTAAACCTGAACCAATTTCTTCTCTTGTTCGTTGTGAGTCCTTTTGAGATTATGACCAAAATGTCTCATCTTTCTCCTAAGTATATGTATTTAAGGTGGTCGAGTAAATCTTTTAGTTCCAAATTGGGGGCCTGCACATAGAATGACGCATTTGTTAGCATTTGATTTTGCTTGTTCAAGAGATGATGCTGAAAATACTTATTCTTGGTCATTCTCATCATCATTTTCTTCAAGGTCTGATTATGCACACAATTGCAACTCACAATCAATATTTTCTTACGTAAAGACTCCTACACAATTGAATCATGCATAGGTTCCCAATCTGATAAAAATTTGAAGAGCCATCAAGAAAATAAAAGAAAGATTTTCCAGCCAACCTCTCTAACATTGGTCTATGAAAGGTAAAGGAAAGTGATCTTTCCTAGTCACATGATTAAGCTTTCTAAAATCTATGCCATTCGACAACTTTTTTGCACACACATTGGTACAAGTTTATTGTTCGAATTTCTTACTATAGTGATCCCTGTCTTCTTTGGGACAACGTGAATTGGACTTACCTATTTACTATATGAGATTTGATAAGTTATTCCTGCTTCTAATAGTTTTATGTATTTCCTTCATCGCCACTTCGTTCATGGATAGATTTAACCTCCTTTTGCTTCCCTTGAAGGTTTGGTACCATCTTCAAGCAGTATTCTATGCATACAAATGATGGACTTATACCTTTGATGTCGGTTAAGGTCCATCCAATTGCTTCTTGCTCTTTTAAAACCTGAACCAATTTCTTCTCTTGTCGGTTGTGAGTCCTTTTGAGATTATGACCAAAAATGTCTCATCTTCTCCTAAGTATATGTATTTAAGGTGGTCGAGTAAATCTTTTAGTTCCAAATTGGGGGCCTGCACAATAGAATGACGCATTTTGTTAGCATTTGATTTTGCTTGTTCAAGAGATGATGCTGAAAATACTTATTCTTGGTCATTCTCATCATCATTTTCTTCAAGGTCTGATTATGCACACAATTGCAACTCACAATCAATATTTTCTTACGTAAAGACGTCCTACACAATTGAATCAACCACATCAATTTGACAAATAGATTGCACATTATTATGGTATTTCATTACATCAAGATTATTGAATTTCGCAAGTTTGCCTCTAAACTCCACAGACATAGTACCCTCATTGACGCCAGACAGAATAGTGATTATCCTGTAGGCTAGCTCCGACAGACGATTCACAAGAGAAAATTCGCCCAAAAACCAGAGAAAAAAAAGTCTCTAGGGTTTAATAAAATATTATAAAATCAATAACTGTCAAAAGCAGTCCACAAGCCGGACTGTTATAGCTAAAAAAAATCGTCTTTATTCGAATTTTGCCAAAAATAGCAAAAATCGTATTTATTCGAATTTTGCCAAAAATAGCAAATCCCGAAAATCACTCTAATTGAATTCGAAATAAAATAAGCAATCTCCCAAAAATCCGGTCTAAATCGGATTTAAATTGACTTCCTAATTAACAATCGAAATATTACCATAAATAGTAAAAAATAACTAAATCTAGTGATTCGGAGGGGAAAACGGCAGAATTTGAGGTAGAAAAAAAGGCCACATGGAGCGTAGCTCAATGTGGAGAGCGTGCGCGTCGAAAAGAGCTTTCCGGATTGGGGTCTTATGCGCGATTCTGACACCTGTAGCCAAAGTTATGGCCAAAAGACTGAAACATACTCAAAACGACCCCAATAAGGAACATGTCACAATCAATTCCCGCCTTTGCGCTGATCTGCCAACTCATGGTATCTCAGCGCCATCAACGTGCAATCTGACAGCTCAGCATCATCTGTCTCAGATCCCCCTGCATCACTCATCCACATCGATCTTGGTCTTTGATGTCTTCATGAATGGTCTTCCTAACAAGATCGAAGGTGATTTTGAAGATGAATTACATTCTATTTTCAAGATGCAAAAATCTACCGGAAAAATCAACTCATTAACATGTACCAAAACATCTTCAACAACCAAGTGGGTGAATATGAGAACGATCAGATAATTGAATTACCATGTCAGTTTCTTGCAAGTCATTCAATTCATGTTATTAATCGAAGCTCCCAAGTCTAACATAGCATGCTTAATTCTTTTATTACCAATAACATATGGTAAAGAAAACATGCTCTGATCTCCACATTTCTCTGGCATATTTTTTTGCAAAATGGATGACACATTTTTGCTTACCTGAACCCTTTCTTTTTCTTTCGGTTTCCGTTTATTAGTGCATAATTCCTTCAAAATCTTGTATACTTAGGAATTTTCTTGATAGCATCCACCAATGGAATATTAATCTCAACCTTCCTAAATGTATCCAAGATAACATTTTTCTCATCTTCCTTTGGCTTATATAACCTGCTAGGAAATGGAGACAAATGAGTGTGAGATGAAAATGATAGTGGAGGATTGAATGTTACCTTTAACAACACATTGAATCTTCCTTTTGCTCATCTTCTTTTAGGTGGAATTGATCCTGAAGGAATTTTTTTACCGCTTGTCAGTGAAATTGCACTACAATTTTCCTTTGGATTCACCTCCGTTTATGAAGATAATTTTCCAAAATTTTGTGCTTCCAATTTACTGACGTGGCCAATTGAGTAATTTGATTGCCTAAACTTTGAATTCTCATCCTCATTTCCTGTTGAAGTACGTGAATTGTTCCCCTTGTTTTCTATTGAAATACATGAGTAGAGTTAGCTAGACTTTTGAAATAACCCTCTAAAGACATACCTGAATTTGAAGATTGATGTTCGGCCAGTCTAGCAAAATTTTTAGGGTTATATCTTTGTTGTCCTCTTTGATTCTTGTAACTTAGATTTTGGACGATCTCTCCATCTTGGTTGTAAGATTAGTAAAAGGATCGTTCTTCCTTTAGAGTTGATTTTGGAATCCACCTAAAACATTATCCTCTTGTACCAATCATATTGCAATGTAGAAACCATATCCGTAGGATGCCCTTGAATTGAACATATTCCACAAGCTTTTGTACTTGTACCTGTCCTGCAACAATTTGATGAACCAAAGTAATTACGTCAGAAATTTTATTTTTAAGAGAATCAATTCTTACCTTGCTGACTTGGTTAACAGATTTGTTCATCTTGTACCACATTTTTGGGAATTTTCATCCATGTACGAAATTAACTCCTTGGCTCCTTCAGGCGTGAGGTTCACTAAAGCTCCACCACTTGCTACATCGATCGTGCTTCTATCCATTGGCAACAATTCTTCATAGAATATTAGATTAGAAGTTGGTCCATGATTTGATGACAGGGAAAACTAGCGCATAATCACTTGAACATCTCTCAATACTCGTATAAAGTCTCATCAGTGAGTTGCGTAATGCCATAGATTTCTTTTCTGATGTTTACGGCCTTGGAGACATGAAAAAACTTCTCCAAAAATAGGCTCTTCATCTCATTCCATGTAGTAATTGATAGCAGAGCCAATCTTTACTTGATCCTTTAATGAAAAGAAAAGAAGCCTTTAAACTAATTTGTTCACCAGTGACTCCATGTGGTTTTATTCCGGAGCAAACAATATAGAATTCTTACAAATGTTTGTAGGGATCTTAGCCTGCATGTCCATGAAAAGAAAGAAGTAAGTGATTTAAACCAGATTTTAACTTAAAATCACATTCAAAATTAGAAAAAATTATGCATAAAGGTTGTTGATTTAAATCTAGGGCATCCAACTCCTTGAGAGTCCTATTCGCGTAAAATGAAAAATAAAATAAAGCAATGAGAAACTAAAATAGCTCCGCGACAATGTTGCCAATTTGACAAGGTTGTCGAAGTCTTGTAAAATAAAAACTGATTTTATTAAAATAACTTGTAGTAATAGCGAGATCAGATCGAATCCCAAGAGAGTTGAAATTAGAATCTCAATGTTAAAGCAATAAAAGTAAAATTGGGGATTTTGGTTTATGAAACTAAAATCAAGAAATAAAACTAAAACTAAAAATAACAAAAATCAATTCTTACCAAACTTCAATTCAAAGGTGTGTTTTTCATCCGAATATAATTTTGATCATAGGCTTAAAAGATCGATTTTTCAATATCCACGTAATTAGTCACCTCCTCGAAACCGTAACAAGTATGGTTCCCCTTTTATAATTTATTATCCTACTCATTTGCAACAAACATTCAAATCAAATCTTACCATTAATGACATCATTAAGAATCATGAGAACAACTAAAACAAAATCAATTAATTTTGTACCATATTTCCTTGGAGACTATCATGTGTAATGCGAAGTTAGGATAATAAACTGTAACAAACACAAATCATGAGACTTACCTTACTTATGATTAGTGATAGAAAACTCAATATTGCGTTAAGCCATCAATTTAATCAATATCAAGAATTCATAAAATAAGAACAAGAAATAAAGATTACTTAGATTAAAGGAGAAATACTAGTTGAGCACAAGCCTCACAAAATTACAACAAAATTGTTTCACCCTTGAATCATAAATAAAAACTTAGCCACTCATGGTGGGATGAAATATAAGAAAAAAGAAGAAGTTATAATGTAGAAAGATAAATAATCCCTAAAGAAGACTGACATGCTCTTTATAGAGAGCCAAAACCCTAAAAGAAAGGTAGGTCCATTTTAATAAAGTCTAAATCAAATGAGGAAAAAGCTAAAATAAAGGTAACCCAAAATAAATAAAGTCTTAATAGAAAAGAGATTGATTCTTGGTCAGATACTTTCAAAATAATGGAAATATCAAAAAAGCGAGTTTCATCCCTAATTTGATTCCAAAAAGTCAAACTCTTCATATCAGACAACAGTCACATGTAAGTCATAAGGTGTAGTCTTGCCTTAACTAAAATAGTCTTATGCTATCAGGCATTAGTCGCGTGTTTTTCATAAGGCGTGGTCACGCCTTATCAAAGATAGTCTTATGCTCAATTCCACATTCTCCCAAAAGACTTGATTCTCACATAGAAGGCTAAAAACACACTTTTGAGCTGATTTTCACCGTTGCATACATATTTCACATTCTAAATCAAAACAAACAATATTTTCATAATTAAGGTCAAATTATAATAAGGATGTGGAGGAATTAAACATAAAAAATGTATCTAATTATAACTTATCACCGATCTGACTTGAAAATATATAGTTTTGATTGACTCTGACCTGATCTGAATTATTAGAGTGTAGATTCGACCCAACCCTACCCTACTCGACCTCACCCCCTTAATTTTTTAAAGAAATTACATTATCATCTGTGGGTTAAGTAGGGTCAGAGTTTTTTCACTCTCCACCTGAACCCAACCCTACTCGACCTCACCCCCTTAATTTTTTTTTAAATCTGACCCCATCCAGACTCGAAACTAATTTTAAAAAAAATCTGACCCAATTGAATCAGGTCAGGTTGAAACCCATTGGTTTTGGGTTAAATTGGCATCCCTACAAAATTAGGCTAATAATCTAAGCAGATTAATTATTTGGCCCAATAGGTCAACCTTAACATTAATTTGCAATCTACGATATTTTCTAATTTAGGGCAAACTAGTCACATCCATATGGCGAGTTTACCTAAATATTATATTTTAAGGGTCTCGGGTCTGTGGATCCCATGGGGTCTAATGTTTAATATATTTCTTGAAAATCGTCATGTTCACAAGATAAGTCATTAAAATATATTATTTTTTGTAATTAAAATAATATATAATAATTAAAATTTAGTTTTTGTAAATCATGGTACTGGTCATGTGGTGGTGACGAGTTTCGCTTAAATTTAAAAATTAAATTCGTTAACTGAACATTAGGAATTTTTTTTAAAATTCCATTGAAACTTATCATGTGGGGTGACAAGTTCCAAAGAACTTTTACTAATTAAACACAATTTCATTTATGTTGTAAATATTTTCTTGTTTCATATCATTTTAAATAGTTCATGTTCATATCATTTAAAATTTATTCATGTTCATATCATTTACACGTCAAAAATGGAATTCTTTTTAAATATAAATAAATATTTTTATGTTCATATCATTTTAAAAAATATTCAATAATAATTAAAAATAAATATTAAAATTTGACAAATTAAATGATTTAATTTATTATGTAAATACTTTACTACAAACTAATAATTAAAATTTATTTTAGTAAATACAATCACTAATAATAATAAAAGTTACTTACATTTTTTAATTCTTGACGATGTCGAGGAGTGGTTGAATGATAATAACGTGTGACTCATCAATTTTTTAGTCATCCGCCTTCATCATGTTCTTTTACGTTTGTTTCTTGTTGAAATGTTGTAGTACATTAGTCCACCACTTCGATTTCCACCTTTGGGTGATAATGATGGACTATTTAAGGTATCTGATGTCAATATTGACATCGTTGTCTCAAAATGCACACCAAAATCACTAGGTGATTAAGCATATAGCAAGTGATCTTATAGACCCGTAACTTTTGTCGAAGGTGGTTGAAAGGGCGACATTGTATCCCATGAACTTCCTTTCCACTCTGAATGGCTCTTTATTAAATCATGATACCGAGGATATACATCATAGCTTGCATGAGATGCAAAATAATTCGTAGAAACAGAAGATGTTGTTGATGATGATTTTTTAGCCTTTGCATGTTTTACCTTCATTTATTCTCATTCGATCAAACCTCCCAACGTTATTAAATATGATTTTGCATTTGTTTCATAAGTTTTTAGGTAGAGAGATCTTGTGAAATCAAGATCATCTGGTATAAGCTCATAATGAATAGGCACAAATAAATATCTCTCATTTTATTGTTGTATGTATGTAGCTTGCTTCCTCGATCAATCCTCTTTATGCTTCCAAGCACTTCTATTCTGTGGAGTTCATCCTTGTTAAATATTTACATTTTCATCGGTTGACAGGACCCAAATTGTTGCAATACTTTTGTAACACCCTCAGACCGATACGGGTGATCCGATCCAATCTGAGGTATCACATTAGGGCTATCGGAGCGACCCACAGTAAAAATCCAGGAAAAAAATAAAATTTATGGTAAAACATGTAAAATCATATAACAATTTATAAATAAAATACAAGTTTAGAAAACCATTCATAAATTAAAAACATAATTAAAATCATACAAGTTCCATACTCAGTATAAAAATCAAATGTGACCTACATGCCCCCCTAATTACACTTGTACCGTACTCTACAAGCCAAGCTCATTGAACTCCATTACTGAAGTCGATAGTGTCACTTGATCGATTCTTTTAACATGAAATGGTGAGTAAAAGTGTGAGTTTGAGAAGTTCAGTAATACAAAACTACCAAAAGAATGCTAAGGACAAGTAGACATGACAAAGCAGAAATTTTCATTATTCTTTGAGGCATATACAGGTTCCTGTGATAATATGAGGTTCCACTGATATTTCTTCAAATTACAGACAAGTAGCTTGTAGCTTAGAGTAAACATTCAGAAGAACAAGTTCATGAGATTAAAATAGATGTCTAGTGTGTTCCTTCAGAACCATAATAAAAAATAATCATAGTTTAAAAATAGTAGTAGTTATTTCAGTAAAACAAGTTTTTTAAAATCACTGTAGTACCCTCCATCCGAATACTCAATGTGAAATTCCCCAGGACATCATCCATAAAGACTTACCCTAGACCTCTAGGATCTATGAGTCTAACATGAATGATCAGAACGGAAAAGATTACCAGCTAGCTGAACCTCATAGGCTCTAGAATCCTATTCAATCAATACCCCAATAAAACAATTTCAGATAGAACCTTTAATATCAGAAAACAGAAATCAGAAGTTGGGTTTATTTAAAATATAGAGTTTCCTCCAACCGTACACCAAATGTAGTACCCCATAACAGGCATCCATAAGGACTTACCCTAGACCCCTGAGATCTAGGAATCCAATATGAATGATCAGAATAAAAATGATTTACCAACTAGCTGAATCAGAGTTTCTAGACACCTACCCAGATAGTACCCCAATAAAATAGATCAAATAGCAGACAGTAATATCATAAATCATGAGCTAATTGTACCTTGTGTCAAAAATCAAAAACCATATATCATAAACTGTACTTTATATAAATCATTAAAAACATTTTTTTCAATAGGGAACATACTATAAGATCCATATATTTTTCGAAGGCTCTTGGAAATTATCAGGAATAGAAAGTATGAACTTACGTAAAATTGATCGGATTTTACGATCGAGATCCCTATTAAAAGGGTTTAATTCCTATCGGATCTAAATAGACATTCAGAGATTGATACTTCAGGGTCATTTAGTATTTCAAATGTATCAAAAAGGTATTTAGGAACCTTTACATCAGAATAAATTAATATTTTCATATATAACCAGAGCGATTCCATTATTTAGGCTATCAGGGGTATTTCGGACACTTTGCTTCTAGTGGATTCTTAGAAACTTAATCCAATAAGGGTGAAACAATGATTTACGGTATTCATGTTGATTTATTAGGATATCAGGTCAACTCAAGCTGAACAAATCCCAATACTGCAATACCTTTCAACCACTCGAATCGATACACTTCAAGAATATTCACACTTTAGTACTGACAACACTAGTCAAACTGATCATCTTCAGAACCATCGTTGAACAGATCTTGAGGAAATGTATGTATTCCAATGGTATTTGTTTTATTTATGTATTGTAGCAGTCTCCAAGATGATCGACGTACTTGGGTTATCGTCATAACCTTTAAGGTTATCTCCATAACCTTTAGGGGTATTTGGGTCATTTCAATACTCAGGGTTATTCAAGTCATTATCTTTCGATTCAATCTTATCATATAATTCAGATATTTCGAACTATTCAGACGTAATTGATACCTTGATTGGTTTAGTCTTTAGGCATTTCTTAGGAATATAACTCTAAGTATGCTTTCAGGGTTATTTTCCACTTTGGGCACAATTCTTGGCTTTTTACATCATAAGGGTATTTTCGTAATTTTACCTAGCATGTTTATTTTCATAATTTATTTTCCAATTATATTCGGTATTTAACCTTTTTACAGAAGAAATCAGAGTTTACGGATTCATTGGTTACTTAAATTACTAATTAACAATTTAACTTGAAATTATTTATCGTTAATCTTCTAGTTACTTACACGAATCCATCGAGTCTTATTCAATTTATCGCCTTTATACCGTATTTAGTATTAGTTTCAGAAATCCTCAATAAGCACGAGACCGATCATTTTCATTCATAGAATTATCAATTATCAAACAAGTACGATAAAGCATTCCAAAGGCAGTGAAGTATTACCTTAATTTCTATGTACATCGATCGACCAAATAATCTCCATCGATCGCTCTTGAACTTTAATTTCACACCCCTTAAAGTCTCGGATACATAGCAAATGAATTTACGTCAGAAACATAATATAAACGTGAAACTTCATATTGAATCGAGAGACAAAACATCGAAAACATCTTATTTAGTTTGAATTTGGTGAAACAAACTTCAGATTCGGACTCAGGTCGTCGAAAAACATGAAATAGAAGTTTTTGAAAATTTTGAATTTTTGGTCAAAGTCAATCATGATCAAAGTCAAAGTTAACTTTTGTCAGGTTAACAGTCAGTTAAAGTCAACGGGTCAGAGTAGTTTGATTTGACTCAGTGGGTTAATTCAACGAGTTAACTCAATGTAACACTGATCAATTCATTGTAAACAATTGATTCAGTCCGATCCGATCCAACTGAACTAGTTTTAGAAAATTTCCTGCTTACTGAGAAGGCCCACGCACGACAGTGACGCGTGGTGAAGTGTAATAACGGAAACAGAGTCGATTCAAGCAGCAGATTACTCCTTATTCAAGGACTCACCATAATCAACCAAAAATAGATAAAAAAATGCAGCCAAACCACAGTGAATCGGATGGAAAAAGAAGATCGGAGCACTTACCACGGTGGACTACAAACAAACGACAGTGGGGCGATGAATCCGATCATGTTTTGATTGGAATGAGCTGAGGATCCCGAATATGAAGGCAGTGAGGCGAACGTAGGCCTAACATGGCCTAAATCGGAGGGAAAAACGATTTGGTTAGGTTTTTGACGAAACTTCCGGGAGCTTTCCACGACGATCGACGACAATATTCGACGAATTGGTTGAGGGGTTTTAGTCACCAGACGAGGGCAAGCACGATGACAAAGACGGTGCACGACACCGTTAGGTGATGACCGAGATCGATGATGGTGCTTGAATGCCCTTTGCTTATTTTATAAAAAATGATGGATGATACAAGTGATTGTCAACCAATATTAGAGTAGCGAGACAATCACACTACTGGCAGTGGTGGCACTATCGATCACCCCTGACCTGAAGTCGATGATCGAAGATGGGAAGATCAGTTGGGTCAGGATTTGGGGTTTCTAAAATCTTGATTTCTGTTTGAAAACGTAAAGAAAATTTGGAGGCCAATTAGCTCAAGGTTTTAAAAATCCAAAAGAAATAATTTATCAGATATTTTGATTATTTTATTACAACTATAGTAACTAGTCTAGAAGGTAGAGACATGGTTCTCAATGCTTTTAGATATGGGTTCAAAACCCGAAAACTATAAATTTATGTTTTCATGTATTTTTGTGATTTGTGGTTAAAGAAAAAGGGTAAATCCTAATTCAAGTCCTCGAACTAACATGAAGCTCACAAGAGAGCTCTTACGATTCCAAATTCTCGTAATTTAGTCCCTTGAAAAAGATAGTTGAAATTACTAAAATTATTCCTAGAATTTTGGGGTGTGACAACTTTATCTGTAGCATGGATCTCAACAATGATAAAATGAAACAACGACGTTACGACACACCATGTCTATGCTCCTTAAAAAATAGAGAAAATCGCCTCAGTGACCAAAAAAAAGTTATAATATACGATTTTAACCAACTTTTTTTGGATTTGCCAAAATGACCAACAAAATCGCAACGCGAAATAAAAATCGCAACACGATCCCCAGAATCGCAAATCAGTTTCCAAAATCGCAACGCGATTCTTGAAAATCGCAATGCGATAGTACAAATTCGCATTGCGATTTTCCAAAATCGCAACGCGAATATGAAAATCGCATTGCGATTTTCCAAAATCGCAACGCGAATATGAAAATCGCAACGCGAACACATAAATCGCAACGCGTATCCGTAAATCGCAACGTGTATCCGTAAATCGCAACGCGTATGGGTAAATCGCAATGCGTATCCGTATATCGCAACGCGTATCCGTAAATCGCAACGATAATACATAAAATCGCAACGCGTATCCGTAAATCGCAACGCGATATTTAAAGCGCCATTATAATCGCTACGCGTATTTTATTTTCAAATTACAAAAAATATTAAGACAAAATCCCGTAATCGCAACTCATAACCTAAAACCTAAAATCACAACTCAGTCCCATCTCCATCTCTCACTCTCTACGGCGAAGAAATCCGTCCCCATCTCCGAAGATTTCCGTCCCCATCTCCGGCGAAATCCCTCACAACCATTCACGGTCAGAAATCCCTCACAATATTCAGAAATGGAAAATCAACCTCCGAGGGTTAGTTTTTTTAATTATTTTTATTTGAAATGTTTGCATTATTGTAGGTTTTTCATATTGAAACTGATGATAAGTTTACTGGTCATTTCAATAATAGATTAACCATTTCACTTAGATTTCATTTCGCGTTACGATTCTGTCGTTGCGATTTTCATTTCGCGTTGCTATTCTCTCGTTCCGATTTTCAAGTTAGTATTTGTCTTTGTCTTTGTTCTGTCTTTTGGTTGAAGTAATGCAATCCATTCAAGTTTCAATTTGCAGAAGAGTCGCAACGAGATAAATGAAAATCGCAACGAGAGAATGACTGTCGCAACGAGAGAAATGAAAAGCGCAACGAGAGAATCGCAACGCGAAATGAAAATCGCAACGAGAGAATCGCAACGCGAAACCAAAATCGCATTGCGATTTTCATTCGCGTTGCGATTCTCTCGTTGCGATTTTCATTTCGCGTTGCGATTCTCTCGTTGCGATTGTCATCTCGCGTTGCGATTCTCTCGTTGCGATTTTCATTTCAACCAAAAGACAAAACAGTGTTGCAAATTTTAGTTTCAAGAATAAACTACTACTTTTTATGTTTATTGTTTTTGGTATATCTTCACAGTGTAGTTTTTGGTATATCTAACTTGGTATGTTTATTGTTTTTGTAGAAATTTTTTTCGGCTCAATTGACCTTGAGAAATAAAGTCAGCCTGGCCACTACAATTGCAAAGAAGCTTTCACCTGCTCAAAGACAATTGTTTGAGGAAACCTACTTCGGGCCATGGCTGAGAGTACAGCATCCGGGTGGAGATGCTAATTTGACCCATTTGTGGTTTCAGACCATGACATCAAATCTACCCGACAGTATACAACGTGGTGAGGAAGAGATATGGTTTCATTTTCCACCAGCGTATACTTGTTTTGGGCGGAAGGAGTTCTGCTTAATCACTGGTCTACGATTCGGACACGATGATGTAGGCCGGTACACTCGTCATATCGCCCGCCCATCATGGTTATCCCGGGTTTTTTCGGATGAGTCAATGGAGAAGCCGAACCTACATGTCGACGACCTGAAGAAATTGTTTAATAAGAAAGCTGGTTTCACTCGGATGGATGACGTCGATGTTGTCCGAGTATGCCTTCTACTACTTGTGTATGCCGGCTTTTTAGGCAGAGAGGCCAGACAACCTATTCATCGGGAGCTAATAATATTGGTAGAGGACCTGAATGCATGGAATCTGTTTCCGTGGGGTTCGTATATATGGAAAGCTACTTGGACTAAGTTGTCGTCTGCCTTTGATGACCGCAAAAGTTTGCGGGGCGATGGGTCCAAATACACTTTGTCAGGCTTTGTTTGGGCCTTTAAGGTAAGAATTTCTATATAATGTTTCTAAAATTATAATTAATTATTTAACAATTACTAATTTTGTTATTATAGTTTGTAGATTTGGATATTCGAGGCTTTCCCCAGCATGCGTACATATGCAATAAAAACGTCAAATGATATTCCCAGGGCTATTTCCTGGAAGAGGAAACTCTGTTGGATTGGGAAGACTTAATACCATATGCCACAATAAATAATGTAAGTTAACACAAATACTTTCATATAATATATAAACAAGTTATTAATAGTAGACGTTTAACTTTGTTTGAGTTTTTATATTTTAGGAGGCTAACATTCCATTACAAAGACTGACACCCACGGAGGAAGAGCTTGCCACTGATTGGTGGCAAGCTAGTCAGAATTTTTTGATGGCACGGATGATGAGCAGCATCCACTTCCTCCAATTCGAGAGCCATCACCTCACCTAGAGCCATCACCCGATCGACCCGACTATACACCTCTAGAACGAGAGCCATCACCTATCCCGTCACATCATCGAGCCTCTTCTCCACCATCACCTCATGATAGGCGACCGGCAAAGATGCCACGACTCCTATCTCCCTGTTCTCCACCTCCACCTCAACGGGATGAGTCAAGGGAGTTACGTGATGAGGTCAATGCCTTGCGTGAGGAGATCGGTACTCTACGCGATAACGATGGTGCATGGCGTGTGGAGGTGTCAACTTTACGTGGTGAGGTTGCCGCTCTACGTGAGATGATAGTATCGTTGTAGAATGAGGTTCATACTCTACGCAACGAGGTAAGTTTAAGATTTTCCATATGATAGAATAATGACTTGGGTGAATACAATGCAAGTTTGAAACATATTTGTCTTTGTTTTCACTGTTTAAATATCATGTCTGTTTATTTACTGATTTTTGTATTTAATTATTTAGCGGCCCGATAGAGTGGATGCTTTACGTCGGGTTATGCTTGCACGACGGAGTTCACGCATCAGACAGCGTGCACGTGCTATTAAGTCTCCGTACACCCCAATAGTGCGAAGACACCGCAAGAAGAAGCCCGACTCGCCTGTCATCCCTCAAGAGTCCACTCCTATCGTTGAAGAGGCCCCCCCTATCATTCCTCGAGAGTCCCCTCCCACCGTTCAAGAGGCCACTGTCATCATTGAAGAGGTCCCTCCCACCATTCAAGAGCCCGATTCACATGGCGTCATATGTAGGCTTCTTGAGAAACCCTCTGACGTGCCGGACATGATGGATTCAAGTTGGCTCTTGTATGAGTTACCGGCCAGTACCATACCGGTATCTGAAGAGAGGGAACAACTACCGGACACAATTCTGGATAACACCCTTTGGGCTAAGACCGCTGTTGATTTTTATCTACATGAGCGGAGCCAGGGGTGTTTCACTGACATATGCAAGCTCACCGATGATATCTATTTGTTGCTTGATCGGTCTTGGTGGGGCGTATATAGGGGTCGAAGACAATGGCTATTTCGATGGGGGGGGGTAAGTCTTATATTTTTCTTATATTTCAATTTGATTAATTTTTTTTTTAAATTTATGTAAGTCACTAATATATGTCTTTTTTTGTAAAACAGCATATCGATGCGTGGGTGACACGTCTTCTAATAATAAGAAACTTAAGAAAAATAAAAATATACGATATACAATTATGCCGACGTCTTTTCACGCCGTTCACTTGAAGAATGCACGAAATGAATCATTTGATTTGGGCAATGGACAAGCTAAACTTTATCCTGCATGGTGGGAGGTCGATAAGGTTAGTATTTATTTTAGATTGAGTTTAAAGGTTTTATGAAATAAGTGCGCAAATGAATTATTTTATGATTGCAGGTGTTTATCCCTGTTTTAGAACGTAAACATTGGATTCTCGTCGAGCTTCAGCTCCCATCCCTTAAGACAATAGTGTATGACAGCATGATAAATTACATATCATTGGCTGATTTAAGAGATGTTATTAAGGGATGGAGCTCTCATTTGGCTAAATTCTTGGATGCGATCAATTATTGGACTCGTTCTGGAAACAAGAAGCCAAAGAAGCTCAATATTACAGTTATTAGAGACGAGACCGCGCCACAACAAACGAGCGGAGCCAGAGGAGATTGTGGTCCTCTCGTATGCTTGGCGTTGGAGCGTTTGACGACGGGAAGCATCAAGTATCTACCTCCCACCGATAGAGATAGAGCTGCAGTAGGCTTGTGGTTTCGGCATTATATGGCTAAATCGATATATACGAGACGCTGCCTACCTGCATCCGCGTTATAAAAATGTCCATAAACAATTGGTAAGTTTATATACTTTTGGTTTGAAAATATTTGGTTAAGTACCTAGAATTCAATAATTTGCTGTTTGTAGGTTTTAGATGTGTAGAAAGTGTTGTTTGAGCAAATGTTTGGTTTCTGCAGGTTAATCTCAGAAGTGAACTGCGTGAAAATGATGTATGGCTGCAAAAGTTGATTCAATAGTTTAATTGATTGTTTTTGATTGTTTAATTGATTTGTAAAAGTTGATTCAATAGTAGA